TGTGTATGTGTGTGTGTGAGAGAGGGAGTGAGAGAGCGAGAGAGAGAGAGAGAGAGAGAGAGAGAGAGAGAGAGAGAGAGGGAGAGAGAGAGTTTTTGTGTGTGTCTTTGTGAGCGTGTATGTGCCCTATGAGTGCCGAAGATTAGAAATGTTACAAGCGAGCAACATACAAAGAATAGAAGGAGAAGAGATGAGAACGATAGATATTTGATAGATAAAAAGGGGTCAGCACACCACACCATATTGCCCGCCAACCTGTCACTTGGTACTATGATGCTCTGTGAACTACAATAACATCCAAAAAGACAAAGACGACAACGTGGGTGGTTGGCGGGTGCTCTGGTGTGGTTTGCATCTTTTTTTCTACCAAATATCTGTCATATTTTGACCTTTCCTCCTCCTTTCATGTGATTGTTACTCTCTTGTAACACCTCTAATCCTCGGCACTTATATTATGACCTTATTGTGTTGCAAGTGCCGTAAAACCCTTACTAAAACTAAAAAGGCGACAACTGTTTGCGCCTGTGCACCCTCTGACCTTTGTCTTTCCCACTCGGCCTCGCCCACATTTTGACACAGCAAAGCACTCAGCACTTTCGATCTGATGGCAGGGGCGTATTCAAACATGGTTACAGGCTTCGATCTCACACCAATCGAACATTGGGGAGGGGGGAGCGAAGAGGGAAGACAGACACTCACTGTTTGGGAGCTCTGTTGGCCTAGAGGTTAAGGTGTTCACCTTTCAGTCAAAGATTCCGGGTTCGAATCCAAGCAGCGACGGAAAATCTTCTTCTCTAAAATTGTCTGCTCTCACCTTCTTTCCTGCTCTCTAGCAATATATTCTGTAGTCTGCTTTCGTCTCCACTTTTTGCCCCATCCTCTGGGCTCCTGACTCTTTCTGCAGCCTTTCTACTGCTGCTCCTCGGCTCCTTCTTACTGCTGTCTTTCAGCCACACCTATCATCTTTTGGTAGTAAAGATCTACACCCAGCCTTCTCGGACAAGGGCGAAAAATCTCGGAGGTCCCGTGTGCAAGTTGTGCACGCTAAAGATCCCTTGGTGGTCTAAAATCAAAAAGAGTAGGCTTCGACAGACAGACTGATAGACAGACAGACATACATGAAAATGATGAAAAAAGAAAGTGCGGCAACGAGAGAAGGGTATTTTATGGAGAGAAATCCAGAAGAAGAAAAAAACCCTCCTCTAGACAGAAGACACATTATACACCTCTGTTGGCGGGCTGGACAATCATAAAAAGCCAACATAGAGACGAGGATGCAAATGCTGATCTCTGGAGACAATAAAAGACGACACAGCCACAGTTTGAATAACATTTGATTTACAGGACACATTCCCACTCGCTGTCTTTGGCATCATCG